TAAGCTAGCTCCACCTCAAAAAGTTTAACCTAGGATCGTGCGGTTAAACTTACTCTAGGGCGGTTGGGAAGGTTATTAACTAGGTTAACCGCCCACTTAATCGACCAATCGAAATAGCTCTATCCGATCTAGCTCTAGAGACCTGCACGGGTTAAGAACACCTAACCCGCACCCGACCCGACCCGATGAAAACAATCTCACCAGAAAACTGTGTTTGAGAAAGAATATAGACTTGCCTTGTTAGACAAAAGTTTTTCGGTGCATATTGTAGAATCTCGTAGTTCAAAAAAAAAGTTTTGAACAACGTCTGATTGGTCATTTTGTCTAAAAGGTTTATCTATTGAAAATTCCTCAGTACACTTTGTTAATAGATTATCTTAACCGAGATGATGACCACATCCTGTTTCTCATTGGTCAGTCGGTATCACCTAATACTAAGATAGCAAGTAAAGAGCATTATCGTAAAGTCTTCTATGCACGGGTGTTTAAAACAGTACATTGAAAACAAGCAGTAGGGGATGTATTGCCATTGATTTCAGTGCGGGAAGCACTCTCTTATGTGCAAAGAAAGCAATCATTAATCGACTTAGTGAATGCAGTTGTTCTGAAACAAGTCCATCATAACTTTCAACCAGTAATACAAAGCTAAAAATATTATTTATATTGTAAATTGCGTCGCCAAATATTCAATCCGAATCCGACCCGACAACATCTTAACCCGAACCCCATCCGACCCGACAGTATCTTAACCCGAACCGACCCTAGGGTCGGATTGCAGGTCTCTATCTAGCTCCAACCGGAAAATTAACCGACCGGTTCAGCTAGTTCCAGACATGAAATACATTAGATGCAGGGAGGTTATCATCTAGGTAACCGCCCACTTAACCGACCGATCGACCTGGCTCCAATCGGGCAATTAACCGACCCGGTTCAGCTAGTTTCAGACATGAAATACATTAGATACACGGAGGTTATCAACTAGGTTAATCTACAGGTAAACCGGACGGTTGGAGTGTCCGATTCCTCCGGTTAACCGGGTACTCTAACCTAGCTTAAAAAATAAGAAAAAAGAATATGTGCTTAACGAGAATCGTAAGATGGAGACGTCTTTGCTTTCTATACATGGGTAACGGTTGGTTACGGATGAGACAAACGAGTAATGCTGTTCTCTTTCTTATACTACTTTCAACACTCATCAAAGAATGGAAGCGAAAGTTTTAGTTCATATCGTTTAAAAATGTGTTGATACATTTCACGGGATATGTGAAAGGATGAGTCGTGATTTTCGCAGAAAAAGGTAATAAGAAAGACAGGCACTACACTCGATACTTGAGTTTGTGGCATCTTTTTTACATGTCCTTTTCACACTTTCTAACTTTTTTAAAACGATTAACGCATAGAGAGACCGAAAAACAAACAGATATATGACATGAATGAAATGAAAGATTCATTATTCATTCTCCTTTCGTCCAAATGAAACACTACTATACCACAGAAAAGAAAATCATTTTGTTTGATGTTATAGAAAGAGAATGGAATATTGTGAAGTTAGTCATTCATTTCATCTCTACAGTTAACCGACCGGCCAAGTTAGTTTCAGTTAGTTCGTGATTGGGAAGGACATGAAGAAGATTATTGTTTATTCCGGTGGTGTAAACAAACTATTTTGGAACATTTCAGCTAAGTTTTGCAACAGACTAATAATTAGGAAAGGACCTTGCCGGTTTTCAAAAGTATGTCGAAGTAGAAAGCTATATATCAGATTTTGTAGAGCTTGTCGCGACGCATCTAAACCTGTATTGGGTTTAGATTAATACCGTCTGATTACCGAGATATGGGTGTCATCATGTTCTTGGTCTTTAATCGGTATTGATGCAAGAGAGAGAGTCGAGATTTGGTAATGTAGTTCAATGAGATGTTGTCTTACCCATATTCTTGTAAAGCAATGAAAACTGTACAAACTAGTTCGGTAATGGGAAATAGAGGCTAGTTCTTCTAGGAAAAATGGGTCATTTATGAAAAAAAACCGATCATACCCATATAACATGTGCGCAGTAAAATAACTGTGAAACCCAAATGATATACAGAAACAAATTCGAATTTTGTCGAAAACTGTATGAGTATGACCTCTATCTACCACGTTCATGTCGAGGTCTGAAATCCATCTGCGTCTATGGGAAAAAAATCTTTACTGAAAAAGTGTACCACAATAAGGTATATTTTGGACTTAAACTTGTTTTTTTCTGGTCTGATTTACTCATCAATCAGTTTTAACCCCATATTCGTAATCTACGAACAAAATTGAGTCGAACGGAGTATTAAACATATGTTCAAACACAAAACCGCTTTTTGGGGACAAGAAACCCTACGAAAGATCTTGATGGAGCCTGTTTCTCGAAAAGCACACATTTACCGGCCAAGTTATAGTTTTATAGAGTATTAAATTCTAAACAAACTGTACCCTTTAGATTCAGCTTATGTTACAAAGGAAAAGTATTTAGACTTATTTTACATATAGTATACAGGACGATATTGAACGTCGAAAGGTCATTGACCAGAAAATCTTGCCAAAAAGGGACACAGGTTTCTAGTTATACACGATTAGATAGCCTGTGAAATTCTCTACAAAATGACCTAGTTAGAATATCTTGACTGAAGCGATATATTATTCAAAAGAATATCAGTGAATAGCTCGTGAAATTCTCTATAAACTGAGCTCGTCAAAATATCTAGACAGGCAAGACCAGCCATTAAGGATATGCAAAAGATGCGTTTGGATGTTATATATGCAGTACAGTGTTTCATAATCAGAAGAACTTCTTTGTTTTTGATATTTCAGTAAAAGCTGGAACAAATCTGACTACTGTTTTGAATAGCCCGAAGCTTTTTCTATCAGATGAGGTGCATATCACTATTTTATGAGAAAACTTGATAATAGGGTTTCTGGAAAACCTGAAGGCTAAACCTGAACAAAATAAGATATCTCCGAATCTAATATCTCAATGAGATGTTGCCTTACCCATATTCTTGTAAAGTGTACTACAATAAGGTATATTTTGGACTTAAACTTGTTTTTTTCTGGTCTTTTTCTGGTAAAATAGTGATATGCACCTCATCTGATAGAAAAATCTTCGGGCTATTCAAAAGTCTCTTTGCAAACTTGAACGAGACTTGTAGGCGATGGAGCTAGATTCTCTCCGCAGAGAATTTTTGCTTTGGTACGTTCTATGGAATGAATGCTGGAATTACTTGATGCAGTCAGTAATCATATTAATTTTTTATGTTCTTTGCGATAGCTGGTCGTTGAATCAATTAACAATATTCGTACCGTCGTACAATTAACAAAAGAAGAACACTTTGGTGATAAATATTGTTCTATGTTGAAGGAACAATATAGGTAAGTGGTTGTATACAGTATCTTCATCTCTACAACTTGTAAATCATCATAGTCATTGAACAAATCTATTACATACTCATAGATCATGCCGAATGTAGAACATTAGAGAAGTTTTACCTGTTCAATTCGATACTTATTGAGATATGACACCTTTGGATTCTGACAGCTTTAACGAGCATTCAAACGGCATAGTCTAGATTTCGTCAAACTTGAAATTTTAAAGTTTTATAATGCATGTAAAACTTGTCCATTTCTAATGAATGAAAGTCAGTGGCGTTGGTTTACTAAACAAATGCTTTACACTTGAGCCATCAAACACGATCAAGTGTTACGTCATCCAAGGGAATGATGCTAACTATCAAACTATTATCGACAAGACTACCACTGTCACATCACTATGCCTTCCCAAAGTAACACGTAAAACATACTAACAATAGTTCATGGCAACCAATGACAAGTGGCTCTACAATCAACAGGGATTTGTAGGTGCTAGATAGATGACGATAGTGGCGCCAGTTGTGCATGTCTGCTGATTTAGCGTTGATTGTAGCGCTACTTGTCATTGGTTGCCGTCAACTATTGTCACTTTCCAAGTAATAGCGTGTGTTACTTTGGGAAATAATAGTAATGTGGTAGCCCTTGACAGAAGAAGCACTTCTAACAAATGGTTTGAAACCGACCTGTATAAACATGGCTTTGAATATTTGTTAAGCGTCGTTATATTGTAAAAGGTCAATTATTGAAGGAAGAGAGTTTACTGTGAAGTAGTAAGGACTATTACAACTCTTTTTGATTGTTACGTTCGTTAACTAACCGCTTGCTAAATAGATTGTTCAGAGCAAATGCATAATCATCAGTTAGCTCTCTCTTGGATAGAGAAAGAATTGTTTATATGAGCAAAATTCTGACTATTTATTTAGATCATCGGTGAAACGTGTTTTCATTACTGGAATTTTACACGGTCTCCAATTAGGCATAGTATTTTTTATGATACCTTGCTTATTTTATAAAGCAATAATTTTGGTCGAACAACATGAAATTGCACATAATAGCATTATGCTGTAAGACAAGTTTTTTAATGATTTAATTAATTAATTGTTTGGTTGCTCTTGTTTAGAGCTTTTGCTTTCGCACTCTTTGGTATGCAAACATTTGGAGTAGTATTGGTGATGTGAGTTGGTTCACCCATAATTTATTATTTTAAAATACAGAGTGACTTCACTTGATATAATGATCCATTAGTTTGTGATTTTCATCAATCTCAGTATTTTGTTGCAGTAATTTAATCATACTCTTTTCTGAAACTAGAAAAAGTCGTATTTAACTATACGATATTAGTGAGAGAAAGGGTGTTAAAGATAATATTACATAAATCCACCGATTGCCTTACTAGTTTTATTCGAAGGTTGTTGTCACAGCTTTCAAAAAGATCCGTTTGTAACTATGTATTTTTATAGTCTTCTTTTACTTATCATATTGGTGACAGAGCAGTTTTTAACTTTTTCTTTGAACAGAGCACCAGAGTTTGGTAAATCAATTTCTGCTGCTCAAAGTTTTGTTGATTTATTTGAAAGAACACCTACAATTAACAACACTTTCACAGATGGTAAAAAATTAGTAAGATGAGAATATGTCATTTCTACTTAATACAAACTCGCTAAATGTCATTTAAATAGGAAAATTTTACCGGTAAATTCGAATTTAAACGTGTCCGTTTCTTTTATCCAATTAGACCTGAGGCACCTGTGTTAGAACATTTCATTTTAAATATTAAACCTGGTGAGACAAAAAGAACCTAGAACTATGAGTCAATATTAACGTTATCTCTTAACTTTCTTTTAAAGGTCAATATATAGCCATCGTAGGTAAAGTTTGCGTGCAAATTGCATCACAATTATACTGAAAACACAAATGTGGTACCTCCTTTTACATTGATTTGTATAAGAAACTTTGTTCTTAGGTGCAAGTGGTTGTGGAAAATCAACAATTATACAACTCATTGAAAGATTTTACGATGTTACTCATGGAAAATTGGTAAGATTTAATGTGAACATAAAAACGAGCGGATTACAGTACTGTGTATCACTATGCATATCCTCATTCTCCACCATGAATAAACTAAAATAGCGTAAAATATATTCTGTTTTGTATATCGAATAAATTGAGTTGTGGCTAGTTTAAAAAAAAATTGTATTTGAGAGATGTACATTTATTTGCGCTAGATTGGTTTATTCTAAGTCTTAATTAATCTTTTCTTTTTAATTTTATTCTCCAATTACTCATAGTCCTCTCACGAGGGAACCTCTTGAGGTTATAAATCGCTTTTGAACTCGGACTACTTGTATCTTTCAGACCTCCGTGAGTAGTGAAATACCCTAAGTTGGTGCATCTCCATGGTGCTTTGTTGCTGAGATATTGAATTTTTAGTCAGTTTTTGCCCATAGAGCTTGGATTTCGAGCAAAATCCGACTTTCGAATTTTGACATGAAACTTGCCACACTGGTAGCCCATGATTATAGTAGTACGATGGGAAAAAATTTTCCTGCCTTGATATATTGAGACTCAAATATTTCACCTGAAGGTGAGGGTGAAGGTCAGATGTTCGAGTCTCAATATCGCAAGGCAAGAAAATTCATTGGGATCGAATTTTTTGACTATGACCATGGGCTACCAGTGTGGAAAGTTTCAAGTCAAAATTTGAAAGTCGGATTTTGCGCGAATCCAAGCTCTATAGGCAAAAACTGACTAAAAATTCAATATCTCAGCAACAAAGCACCATGGGGATGAACCAACTTAGGGTATTTCACTACTCACGGAGGTCTGAAAGATACAAGTAGTCCGAGTTCAAAAGCGATCTATAACCTCAAGAGGTTCCCTCGTCAGATAAATTTGATATGAACTCAAAATGCAATAAGAGGCTAGAGTTTTTAAAAAAGAGGACGGTTTCAACTTGAATATTGAAGTCGGTTTCGACCAGCCAGCCGGTTATCTCAGCCATGAAAAAGTCCTGTCGTACCAGTTGGATTTATGACCTGATGCATTCTTTTATGCTTCAATCAACTAAGAAAACTTAAGCATTTTATTTATATTAAAACACCGTGATCTCACGTCATATGATAATTTCCTTAACATATAGCTTGTTCATGACAAAGATATAAAAGAACTACATCTACAATGGTATCGTTCTCAAATGGGTATTGTTAATCAAGAACCAATACTGTTTGATCTATCAATAAGAGAAAATATTGCCTACGGTGACCATTCTCGATACGTTCCGATAAATGAGATAATAGAAGCAGCAGAAAAAGCTAATATTCATAAATTTATTCAAACACTTCCTCAAGTAAGTGGATATTAATAATGTAAGAAAAAGCTTGTCAGATGACAATTCGGGTGTACAAAGTACCTTAGAGTCTATAATTGTAATACTAAATTCGTAAGGTTTGATAAGGAGAACTCTGATTGTTCATCACTCCATGAGTCGGTTGTGAAAGAGATACTATGTTGAGGATTTCAAGCACATTACTTCTTAAAGGTACATTCTTCGTTTTCGTCAAGAGTATCGAATGGCTAAAATATGTTCAGAAATACAGAACAATTTTTAAAATTTTAGGGTTATGAAACAAACGTCGGTAGTAATGGAACACAGTTATCTGGTGGTGAAAAACAACGTATATGTATAGCACGGGCATTAGTTAATAATCCAAAGGTTTTGCTGTTTGATGAACCAACAAGTAGTTTAGATGCTGAAAACGAAAAAGTAAAATATGACCAATCTAAAATTAACACGAACAACATTAGTATTCAATTTTTCTCTTTAAACCTAGGTCGTCCAGCAAACCCTCGAGCAAATACAAGGAAATTGTACAAAAATAATAATAACACATCGTTTATCAACACTACAAAATGCTGATTTAATTTGTTTCCTACAACATGGACGTATTGTCGAAAGCGGAACCCACAATGAATTATTAAACAAAGGTGGATTTTATTCAAAACTATATAGAATACATTCAAATTGAACTAAGAATGTCATAATGCGGAATATATAAGTCATTCGAAAAAACACAGTTCTTTATACTCTAGACGTTATGATCCAGCTTCTTTACTCTCTAATCATTGTCATTGTCATTCTTTATTTTCCTTTATGTCCGTGAAGAGCATTGACCGAGAGGGATTGGAGGTTAACAATAGAGATTTGCTAATGACAAAGAATAACTGTTGACGTGATTCTCAAGAAAGACCATCGATTACTTAAGAAAACTATTTAGTGAAACCGAGCCGACTAATACAAAGACTGAGAATAAAAAACGATTTGTAGAAGATTTGTTACTGACAACCGATGTTGAATCTTTCTGTGCTAAGATTCCGATTGAGGAACCAACAACAAAAGTGTCCTGGTACCAGTGGATATTTCATACACTATTTAATTCTCATAATACAGCACAGTAGTACACCACCCAACAAAACCTAAATTTAAGCTGATAGACGTATGTTTTTAAATAGAACAGTAACTAGTTACAATGTGATGCAAAGTAAATTGTTATTATAACACACACACATATAAAGCGCTTAGATCTACCGATACGGGTTTCTGTATTTAGTTGTAGCATTAGCTATATTTCGTGCAAAGAATATAGCCAAATGGAATTGAAGTTCCTTTATACACTTATACAAAAATTACTCTAAAATGTAATGTTATGCAACAGCAGAATACAGGAATATTCGCAGAATAGCGGAACAGCGATACTAATATATAAAGAAACGCTCTCTTAGTCTACAAAGAAGCCGCTGAAGACGTTAGTGAGAGTCATATACGTAGGGCATTAGAAAAATTCCTGGACTAATTTTATTTTAGAAAAACGAAAAGCGTTGAATTAAAACTTTTCGTTTTCAGTTTTTAGTTTTTCGTTTCTAGTATGCTGTAGTGAGTAATCAGTATTAAACTTTCAGGTTTTTGTTTTTGTTTTTTCTCTCTAGTATGCAGCAATGAGTATTTGGTAAATAACTTAGCCTTTTGTTGCATATCTCGGTCAAAAAGGCATATCACTCCATATCCTTTGGATATTCTTCTCGAAGTAAAGTCAGAGTAAAACATGATGCAATTTCGGCTGAAAATGCATCAAAAAAAGCCCGGCCTGATCTGAGTAGATCTGTAATTATATATAATGTTCTGACAAACATCAGGGAAGAGCTCACTCTCATCCCTCCTGCACCCTACCCTACACATACTCTATATCCTTCCGTTTTCGCCATTCTCAGGCTCAAACTAAAACTTCTAGTAGTAGAAACTAAAAACTGTAAACTAGCGCGCTGCGGGTTACAGTCAATCCGCCGTCTGTTCCGTATGATCATGATGTGCGCTATATCAATGGACTCACCTATAATCTTCCGAACCCAAGTAGAACTCATCAGGATCTACAAAGTTCACCCTTCACCTTTGTCTTTGAACGAATAGTTGATGAAAAAATCGCTAATTACTTTTCACGCTCTATATGCAATATATATACCGCTGGGAAAAATCGAATAATTTGTGCTGCGATTCGCTATCTCACTGGACCTAACTACCTTTTCCTTTTCACGCTCTATAAGCAATAAATATACTGGTGGGAAGAATAAAAATATTTTGTGCCACGATTCACTATATCAATCGACTCAACTATATTCTTGATGGACCCAACTAGAATTCATCGCGACCTACAGCCTTCCCCTCGCTATATCAATAGATTCAACTGTATTCATGATCGACCCAACTAGAATTCTTCAAGGTCTACAAAATGCACCCTTCGCATTTGGCTGTTCGACGAATAGTGAATGAGAAAATCGTTAATTGGTTATCACCCTCTATATGCAATATATATACGAGTGGGAAAAATGAAATAATTTGTGGCACGATTCGCTATCTGAACGGACCCAACTGTACTCTTGATGGACCCAAGTAGAATTCATTATTAAGAGCTACAAAATGCATCCTTCACTTTTGTCTTTTTCGACAAATAGTTAATGACCATATCGCTAATCCCTTTTCACGCTCTATATGCATTATATATACGAGTGAGAAAAATGAAATAATTTGTGCTGCGATTCGCTATCTCACTGGACCAAACTGTATTCGTGATGGACTCAGCTGTATTTTTGATGGATCCAAGTCGAACTCATCAAGATCTACAAAATTCACTCTTCGCATTGGCTGCTCGACGAATAGTTAATGAGAAAATCGCGAATTACTTTTCACGCTCTATATGCATTATATATACGAGTGGGAAAAATGAAATAATTTGTGCTGCGATTCGCTATCTCACTGGATCCAACTGTATTCTTGATGGATCTTCCTATAATTCATCAAGATGTCTAAACTTCATCCTTCACTTTGCTCTGTTCAACGAATAGTTAATGACCATATCGCTAATCCGTTTTCACGCTCTATATGCAATATATAAGCGGGTGGGAGAAATAAATAAATTGTGGCACGATTCGCTATTTGACTGGACCCAAGTGTATTCTTGAGCGACCCAAGTAGAATTCTTCAAGGTCTACAAAATTCACCCTTCACTTTTGCCGTTTCGACGAGTAGTTAATGAGAAAATCGCGAATTACTTTTCACGCTCCATATGCAATATATATACGAGTGAGACGACTTAAATAATTTGTGCCACGATTCGATATCTCACTGGACCCAAGTACATTCTTGACGGACCGAACTAGAAATCATCAAGAGCTACAAAATGCACCTTTCACTTTTGTCTTTTCGACGAATAGTTCGTTGTAGCTATCTGAGCTTCTGCAGCTTACCTCACGTTCCCAAAACGCATACTCATGGCACTTCTCCGAATTTCGGTATCTTACCTTACCTATCGTTCTCTTAACTTCGCCACCTTAATTTACGTATCCTTACTAACAGGAATTTCTGGCTTTCTGCGGTAACTTCCCTCGTCGCACGAAACTTTCTCTGTTGCCTAACAGGAATATCTGCCTTCCCACAACAATTTCTTCCCTTTCACAAGAATTACTCTGAAACTGAAAACACGAGCTTCAGTCTCTTTTTTCACAGGAACTTCTCTGCTCGAACGAGAATTTTTCTCTTGTCTAACAGGAATTTCTCTCTTTTCATGACAGTTTAATCTCTTTCACACTATCTCTGTGATGATCAAAAAACGAAAGTCAGACTGCATGAGAATTTCTCTCTTTTCGCGAGAACTTCTCTCCTCGCACGAAAATGTCTGTCTTGTCTAACCGGATTTTCTCTCTTTCCACTAGAATTTCTTCTCTTTCACAGGACTTACTCCAAAACTGAAAACAGAAAAGCCAGACTCCACGAGAATTTCTCTGTTTCCGTGGAAACTTCTCTCCTCGTACGAGAATTTCTCTCTTTTCGCGAGAACTTCTCTCCTCGCACGAAAATGTCTGTCTTGTCTAACAGGAATTTCTGTCTTCCCACGAGAGTTTAATCCCTTTCAAAGGAATCTCTCTGATGATCAAAACAGGTTAGTCAGGCTCCGCGAGAATTTGTCTCTTTTCACAGGAACTTGTCTCCTCGCACGAGAATTCTCTCCTGTCACAAATTTGTTTGGCAGAAATTCGTCTCTTCCCGGGAGACTTTCTTGCCGTGCACAGGAGTTGCTCTTAAAATGAAAGCACGAAATTCAGACTGCACGAGAATTTCTGTCTTGTCTGACAGTAATTTCTGTCTTCGCACGAGAATTTCTTCCCTTTCACAGGAATCTCTCTAATGATTAAAATACGAAAGTCGGACTCCATGAGAGTTTCTCTCTTTCCAGAGGAACTGTTTCCACGAGGCCTACTTTCCATTCAGACGTTTTTTGTATTAATGAAAAACAAACACTAAAGGTTGCACGGTAATTCAAGACAAATCCCTGATTTGTATTGAGATATGAATTTGAGTAAAAGTCTCTCTTTTGGTACGGCGAAATTCGTGGAATTATTTTGAGTCTGTCGTGTGTTTGTATGTTTTATGTGTTTTAGATACATCAAGGATTGCATGCAGTTGGTTTTGCTCATGAGCAACCCATGTCGACAGGTGCCCAATCAGGTTTGTATCACTCTTCAGTCTTGCAGTACTTGTTTTGAGAGTCTCTCTTCAGATCAATAACATAATTTTCAATTCTATCCTCAAGATCAAGTTCAACTGTATACACCATGCGATATCCATTCGATAATGCACTATGGGTGGGGATCATTCTCGAAATGGTCAAGGAACGGTATTACCAAAAGATCCAAATGTCCCTAAAGAGTAAGGGGGCGGTGGAAGAGATTTGAGCTGGTGGGTTAGAAAAAGTTTCTCTGCCTGATCCCTTATGCATCAAAATGATGTGATAATTAAAACAGAGAATATACCCCAAATCAATGTAATAAAGCTCAGAATTTACTTTAACGATGTGTTGATTTAGACACTTTATTTTCTGACATTTCTTATACGTTACTGATTATTTTTCATTGAACAAATACAAAATATATATATATCACATCATGGAATCCAAAAATTTCTAATTTTATTTATAAAACTCCCGTCAAATTATCTAAAATTAATACATATACGTGATTTTAACACGATTTACGTTTACAATTAATCATGAGATATTACACAAATATTAGTGTTTGTCAAGTATCTTTCTTATGTTCATTATCAAGTTGTTGATTACAGTTCTTATAAGCGATTTATAAATCTGATATTTTTTAAAATGTCAGAATGCTAGAACAGAGTTTTTAATAGATTTCCGAAACTATGCAGTAGTTAACCTTTAGACTATGGGAAAGTAATCTACATATGCAAGAAATATTTCCAGAAATTTTTCAGTCAAAAACGTGTTCCTATGGTAATACTTTTAATAAGGACATCATGTCACAAAAGTGACCAGTCCTCGTACAGTAACTATATTCCTATCTATCCATCTATTTGACCAGTCACCATTTGGTGCAGTGGGCAATAAAAATGCATCCCATTCGTTTTTGTTTCTTGCCAATTGTATAGCTTCATCATAAATCAACCCCATTTCCTTTAAGT